TTGGTATCTCTAATTTTCTTGAAGAGATCTCTAGTCTTTCCCATTCTATTGTTTTCCTCTATTTCTTTGCACTGATCACTGAGGAAGGCTTTCTTATCTCTCCTTGCTATTCTTTGGAACTCTGCATTCAAATGGGTATATCTCTCCTTTTCTCCTTTGCCTTTTGCTTCTCTATGCCTTATGAAAGCCTTTCCCCCCTGAAACCTACTGAGTCCCAGAAGATATCAGTATTTCATACCAGTACATCTCAAGGGGGTGAGGAAGACACTCCCCAAACTCAAATTGTTTACAAAACCATTTCTGTCACTCTGCACAACCACCGTCTTACCCAGAGGTCCTGAAGAGCCACGATAAACCACCTCTGCCGCCCCACCCTGAGGAAGGAAATCTCAGCCCCACACCAGCAGCATGACATCACTGCGAAGTGAGACTCCAAAAGCACCCTTCCACTACACTCTTCAGTGGACAAGGACCTGAACTCTCCAGAGCCACGTTACTGCCTGCACCCTTCTAGGATTACTTTCCTTTTTTCCTAGATTTGGTCCCCAGCACTTGATGAGTATCAGTCACCTCAGCTCATCTCAGGCTCTGGAAATACAGAGAGAGCACTGCCTGGCATGGAGGAACACGTGGATCAAAACCCAACTCACTCTGAATGTACCAGTTCCCTCTTCTTTTCTTGGAGGAAATTTGACAATTCAGAAACATTGTTTTATCAGTGGTAATTCTCAGCTAGGAAGCAGAAAAGACCAGTGACATTTCCACAAAGTCCTTCCATCATGCTGGCTGAGATTCAGCTCAAGTAAGTTCTTCTGGGCATGGCAGGGAGAAGAATAATTTTACACACAGAAAACAGATATAATGGACAGTGAATTACACAGATGGCTAGAGTTTCATAAGTATGTCAAATCCAGACAACCCCATCTGGCGAGAGCACGTTTCCCTCACTTCAGAAAATCCCCTCATGCTCCTTCCCAGTCAACCCCCAGCCTCCTGCGACAACCACTGTTCATGCCTTCATTACCAGCCAGCGATACAGAGAAGGTCAGCTCTGCGGAACTTCACAGACCCACAGAGTATGCAGGCTTTGTCTGGCTTCCTTCACTCACTGCATTCTGAGATCCATCCACACTGTTGTGTGTACTGGGGGGGTCATTCAATTACCAGGCAGTTTAGTCATCCTCCCACTGACAGACATTTCAGTAGGTTCTAGTACTTGGCTATTATCAATAAAGCTGCTACAAGCACTCTTTCACAAGTCGTGTGGGCATATATTCTAAGATAAATACCTAGGGTTATAGGGTTATAGGTATGTTTAACTTTATAAAAAACTGTCAAAGCGTTTCCCAAAGCGGCTGCACCATCCACGCTCCCACCAGCAATGGACGAGACCCCCAGCTGCTCCACATCCTCACCGAAAGCTGACAGTCGTCTTAATCCCAACAAACCTAATGAGTCTGCAGAGGTATCTCATTATGGTTTTACTAGTTTATAACAGTTTTACTGAGACATAATCAAACAAAGCATACAATTCATTCATTTAAACTATATAGTTTTATCAATTTTGGTATATTACATTAACTTCTTAATTGTGGTAAAATATGTATGCATTAAGGGCTTCCCAGGTGGTGCTAGTAGTAAAGAACCTGCCTGCCAAAGCAGGAGACATAAGAGATGTGGGTTTGATCCCTGGATAGAGAAGATCCCCTGGAGGAGGTTATGGCAATCCACTCCAGTATGCTCGCCTGGAGAATTCCATGGACAGAGGAGCCTGGTGGGCCATAGTCCCAGGGTCACAAAGAGTCAGACACGACTGAAGTGACTGGGCGACAGTTGCATGTATGTATTAAGTTAGAAAAAAGTAACAGCAGTTTCGGACTGTAAATTGTAAATCATTATAAGTAGGGTCAAACATCTTTATTAATCAAAATAGGAACCATTACAATCAACACATTTTTACCAATGAGAAATAAGTTTATTCCTGTAGCATAAAAATCTGTACTTCAGGATTCGACGAACTCTTGGAAAGCATCTTCTCCCTCCTGCTGGTTGTGGAAATGTTTTCCTTGCAGAAAGTTGTCAAGATGCTTGAAGAAGTGGTAGTCAATCGGCAAAAGGTCAGGTGAAGAAGAGGTAGTCAACTGGCAAAAGGTCAGGTGAGTACGGTGGATGAGGCAAAACTTCATAGCCCAATTCACTCAACCTGTGAAGCAATGGCTGTGCGACGTGGGCCAGGCAGAGTCGTGGGAGGAGCTGGGCCCCCTCTGCTGACCAACGCCAAAGCAGGCGTTGTGTTTTCAGTGCATCTCATCAGCTTGCCGAGCACAGTTCCCAGATGTAGCGGCTTGCCTGGGACTCAGAAAGCTGTAGGGGATGAGACGGGCAGCAGACCACCGAACAGGGGCCACGACTTTTTCTGCTGCAAGTGTGGCTTTGGGAAGTGCTCTGGAGCTTCTTCTTGGTTCAACTACTGAGCTGGTCATCACCAGCTGTTACATAAAATCCACTTGTCATCTCACATCACAATCTGATTGAGAAATACTTTGTTGCCGCTGCATACAGTAAGAGAAGACGACACCTCAAAACGACAATTTTATTATTTTCGGTCAGCTCCTGAGGCACCCACTTAGTGAGCTTTTTCACTTTTCTAACTTGCTTCAAATGCCCAGTGCCCACAGAACGGTCCACGCTGAGTTCTTTGGCAATCTCTTGAGTAGTTGTAAGGGGATCAGCTTCAATGAATGCTCTCAATTGGTCATTGGCACCTTTCAATGGCCTGCCACTACATTCCTCATCTTCAAGCCTCTCATCTCCTTTGCAAAACTTCTTGAACTAACCACCAATGCACTGTACGTTTGGTAGCAATTCCTGGGCTAAATGTGTTGTTGATGTTGCCAGTTGTCTCCACTGCTTTACGACACATTTTGAACTCGAATAAAAAAAAAAAAATCACTTGAATTTGCTTTTTGTCTAACATCATTTCCACAGTCTAAAATAAATATAAAATAGCAAGTAATGTCATTAGAAAAAAAAAAATAAAGTGAGAAATGTGTATTAAAATGATGTACAACACATCCAATTTAAGAATGTATTCCAATATCAAACAACAAAGTTCAACAATGCCAAACCAAATTATTTTTGCACCAACCAATAATATACAATTTTCCATTCTGAACATTTTTCAGTATAGAATTCAGTGGCTTTAATTATATTCATATAGTTGTACAAACCTCACCACTGATTCCAAAAATTTAGTATCCCAAACAAATTTGTAATTATTGAACAATAGCTCTTCCCTCCCCCGCATCCCGAGTAACCTCTAATCTCCTTTCTGTCTATGAATTTGCCTATTCTTAGTTCTTCACAGAAGTGGAGTCATACAGTATGGGTCATTTTATGTCTGGCTTCTTCCACTCAGCATGTTCTCAAGGTTCACCCCATCACAGCATGTACCGGTACTGCATTCCTTCTTACGGCTAAACAGTACTCCACTGTATGTACATGTGATATTTTAGCCACTCACCTGTTGATGGGACACTTGAGTTATTTCCATCTTTTGGCTATTATGAATAATACCTCAATGAAAACGGGCACACAAGTATCTGTTTAAGTTTTTGCTTTTAATCCTCCAAGGTACATACATACCTAGGAGTGGAACTGCTTGACTGTATTCTACGTTTAGCTTTTTGAGGTACCACAAAATTTTTTTTACATAATAGCTGAACCATTTCACAGTCTCACCAGCAATGTGCAAGGATTCCAAATTTTCCACATCCTTACCAACAATTTTTTTCCTTTTTTTTTTTTTTGGTAACAAGCCATCCTAAAGAGCATAGACTGGAGTTTTTAATTTGCATTTTCTTAATGATTAATGATGTTGAGTACTTTACCATGTATTTGTTGGCCATTTATATATCTTCCTTTCTAAACCAGATTTATTTTCTGCCCAATTTTTTTACCAGATTGTCTTTTGTTACTGAGTTTCAGGAGCACTTTATCTATTTTAAGGCAAATTCTTTGTATTAGGTATATGTATTGTAAATGTTTTCAGTCTATGACTTGCCTTTTCCATTTTCTTATTGGTATCTTTTGATAGGCAGAAGGTTTTTAATTTTTTAATTTTGATAAAGTGTAATTTTTCTTGAAAGGTCAATATTATCTGTGACCTGGATAAGAAATATTTGCCTACACACAAGATTACAGATATTCTCCCATCTTCTAAAAATTTTATAGTTTAAAATTTTATGTTTAAGTCTACAATCCATGTGGAAATATTTTTGTGACTGGTACAAGGTATGAGTCAAAGTTCATTTTATTTCATTTAGATATCAAGTTATTCTACCACCATTTTTTGAATGCAATTGCTTTTAGACTGATTTTGGTTTGGAGCTTGCACATAGTTTGGAAATGGTCTTAACATTCCTTATGTGACATTCAGCATTCAATGACGAGAAGACCAGATGACTACACACAAGAAGACAGAAACTGACAACAGATACTTATCAGGCACATTCTCTAAAATAAGTATAATTAATATGCTTAAGAAAGTAGATGACTATGAATTTCAACAGAGCAATCCATTTAAAAATCAAATAGAAATTCTACAAAACTCAAAACTGCCTGAAACTAAGAATACAATAGACAGCACATTAGACACAGCAAAAACCAGAACAGAGAACGAGAAGACAGGAGGAAACTTTCAAACCAAAGCTCAGAAAAGAATCGGAAATACAGAAAAGAGGCTTTGAGATACACAAAATACAGTGAAAGGTTTAACATATGTGTAATTAAATTCCCTGAAGGAAAGGAAAGAATGAGAGAGAAGCAACAGCTGAAGAAATACTGGCTGACAATTTCCTAAACTGTTCAAAGACATCAAATTCAAAAAGCATGATCCAAACAGGGTAATTACAAAAGAGCCAAAAAAAAAAAAAAAAGCCAACTATCTCTGTCCTCATGGGCCTTCATTCTGGAAGACAGAGAATAAATAAGAAATCTCTATGAATAATTACATAGTATGAAGAATCTAATAAGTGCTTTCTTTAAAAAAAAGAAAATAGGGTTTATAAGGTAAAGGGCCTCCAAAGCATGGAGGGGAGGGAAGCATCTGCCCTGTTACACAATACACACAAAGCCTAGAAGGAAGAAATCAGGAATATACTTTTGACTAAACACACATTAACAGGAAGAAAGAACCCACACTGAAAGAAGCTTAAAAAAATTTACCAATACAAGTAGGGAACAAAAAGACTACACACGCACCATGAGTAACTGTGCTGTGTGTGCTCAGTCGTATCCGACTCTGCGCGACCCCACAGACTGTAGCCCACCAGGCTCCTCCATCCATGGGATCTGCCAGGCAAGAATACTGGAGTGGGTTGCCATTTCCTCCTCCAGGGGATCTTCCTGATCCTGCTTGACAGGCAGATCTTTACCGCTGAGCCACCTGAGAAGCCACATAAATAATGACTTACACAAATAGCAGTAATTCCACAAGCCTTTGTTAAGAACCTACAATTATCAGACTGTACGCTAGATGCTAGGGACCCAAGGAAGGTGATACGCTCACTTTACTCAACAAGCTTTTCAGATGGAAAAACAATAATGTATCAGTTTAAGCATGAGAAGATTTATGGAAAGCAGTACCCAAACGTTAAACTAGTTCAAGAACACTCAAGAATCCTATAGAAAAAAAACACAATAGCATTACTCAACAGAACTTTCTGTGATGATGGGAATAATCTGTATCTGCCTGGTCCGAGAAGGTACCATTAGCCACGTATGGCTACTAGTACTGAAAATGTGGCTGGGACAAGGAATGGAATGACTAATTATACTTACTGCTGATTAATTTCAATAGCCGCATGTGGGCAGCTGCATGGACAGTGGAGGCAGAGTTATCACCTGGCTCTACACTGAATACAGGGGAGCTTCCTGGTGGCTCAGACAGCAAAGAATCCACCTGCAATGCAGGAGACCTGGGTTCAATCTCCGGTTTGGGAAAATCCCCTGGAGAAAATAATGGCAACCCACTCCAGTGTTCTTGGCTGGAGAATCCCCATGGACAGAGGAGCCTGGCAGGGCTACAGTCCATGGGGTCACAGTCGGACACAAATGAACGACTAAGCACATTGCTACATAATAAATGAGCCCCAAACTGAGCAATCCATGGTCTCATACAGGTCAGAGTCCCTCATCAACTTGCACAAACAGCTGTGGGCTTGGCTGGGACTGAGGATCTGCTTCCAGGATGGTCCTCACGCGGCTGCTGGCTGGAGGCCTCAGTTCCTCACCGCTCAGACCTGTCTAGGTGGACCCCTGAGTGCCCTCATAACATGGCAGATGGCTTTCTGGGAGCAAGCGATCCAAGAGAGAAAGCAATGAGGAAGCTTCAGGGCCTTCGGTGCTCAGAAGTCACACCCTGTCACTTCCCCCACATCTATTATTTAAAAGCCAGTCACTAAATGCAGCCCACGCTCAAGGGGAAAGGTCAAATTCCTTCTTACTTTCCTCAGCATGATTCTGCTGTATCTCGTGTTTTTCAGTTTGCTGCTGTGATGCCTCATTCTGCTTCACTTTACGTCCCACGCAGCCTCTGACACCTCCGCCCATCCTCCCTCTGGGTCCGTCAGCATTGGATGGATCTTCGCGAAGCAGCTGGCCGCTGAAAACCCTGAGACCCTTCCGAGGGGCAACTAGTGATCTGCTCAAAGACATGCTGAGCAGCAGAGGCAGAACCAGAAGCCTGTCCTCACAAACCCTCATCAAGCGCGCTCTGTACCACCACATACTATCTGCCTCCTGACTCCAAGACCTACACATCAGGTCACCTTTCCTGGCCTTCAACTCTTCCTCAACTAGAACAGAGTTCCCGCCAGCCCCAGGAAAAACTCAAATCAAATATGGGATGCACCTTCACCTCTTCTCATTCTTCCCCAGCAATCCAACCAGTCCCTGAGTCTTGTCCATTCAATCTGGTAAAGATGTTTCAATATCTATCCTACCCATCCCCATAGACAATACCCTAAATTCAGGCACTTTTCTCTTTCTCTTGGGCTTCTCCATCAAGTCATCTGCCTCTAGCCTCACCCTAATGTATCTCTCACAATGGCAGCCAGAGATTTGTTTAATATACAGATTTGCCAGGCCATGCCCTTAAAAGAACCTCCCACTGTTGTTCTGTTCAGTTGCTAAGTTGTCTCCTTAGGACCCCATGGACTGCAGCATGCCAGGTTCCTCTGTCCTCCGCTCTCTCTGCAGTGTGCTCAAATTCATATCCAGTGAGTCGATGACGCTATCTCACCGCCTGCTGCCCCTTTCTCCTCCTGCCTTCAATCTTTCCCAGCACCAGGGTCTTTTCCAGTAAGTCAGCTCTTCTCATCAGGTGGCCAAAGTACTGGAGCTTCAGCATCAGTCCTTCCAATGAATACTCAGGACTGATTTCCTTTAGGGTTGACCGGTTTGATCTCCTAGCATGGTTCCCCATAAACTCCCCTCACAAGAAGGAGAATCAGGAAAGGCCTTGTAACTGGCTCAGGCCCTTGGATTTTATCCTTCAGCTTATAAAAAGGAACTAGATATTTGACTATGTCCTCTGTACCAGATGCTTTATCTATGTTATTTCATTTAAACTCAGAGACCATGCAAAATCAGCACAATGTTCCTCTGCACATGCCGTTCTTACTAATTAGCCCTCTCATCTGTAAGCCTAGAAGCCATAGTAACCTAAGGCCTTTCCCAGCCCACAAATCTCTCCACCAGATCCACAGTTCCCCCAGCTCCACCATCTCTTCTTGGCTAGACCCTCTTACAATTTGTTTACACGGCAATTACCCTAACCCGCTTCATCTTTGCACCTTCGGCCCTAGCAAAGAACCTGCTTCAGAGCAGGTCCCCAGTGAAGGCTGATGACTGGTTGACTAAAAGAAGAGCCCATCATGGTATAGATAGCCTAAGCATTAACACAATCAACAAATCTCTCTGAGTTATCACATCAATTAACTTATCTCCCAAAAAGGCAGGAGCAGTGCCCAGGGCTCTTGACACTCTTTGAATTGCTCGACACTCACTGTGATTTGGGGCAGAAGTGCTCAGACCAACTGAAACTCTAAGACCATCTCGCCTTCTCCCACACTCCCTCTCCTCTTTGCACATACTTCTAAGATTCCAGAACAGGGCTTCCTAACAACACACTTATGGAGAACCATCCATCAATGTGTGAAGGGACAGTATCAGCTAACTTGATTTAATACTATGTGTCAGCTATGTGCCAAGTATGCATGAGTTCACTTAATCGTGACAAACAACCTCACCAGGAAAGTACTGTCCAACCTCATTTCTATTAAATAGACACACAAACTGAGGCCCAGAGAAGACTAGAACAAAATTAAACAGGCACTGACTGGAGATATCAGGTACTTTGTATTTTCAAGTGCTTTATTTCATTTATTCCTCTGTACAATTTAGCAATGAAGTCGTGTATTACATTCCCATTTTTAGGCAGGAAATCTTAAGGCTTGGAGAAATGGCACCATAACGCACCGCTTGTAGGGCTAGGAGCCAAATCCAGATCTTCAGACTCCTGGGCACCTTATACAACGGAGATCTGGCCCTTCTGTGGCAGAGTCGGGAATGAAGTGGCCACGGTGCAAAGCGGGGCCACCACTGGGGATGCAAAGCCTGGGCTCACAGGACGAACGGAGTGACGCGGCCTCGCACCTTGCACATCTGCAACGTCTGTCTCACCCTCCTGCACGTTCTACTGCCTCTGGGGGCTTGCCAGTCTGTTCCAACCAGGCCGAGGAGACCACCTTGCACGTTACCCGGGCGCCATCACCGCGGCTCAGCTCAACTAACCCAACAGGCAGGAGGCGGCGAAGGGCTCGCTTGGATCGGTCCCCCTTCCTGTGCCCGGCCTCACGCCCGTTCTGACGAGTGGGAAGCAGGTGTCACCCCCGCCCCCCAGCCCGAGGCCCTCTGGTGAGGCGCAGAGCTTCCTCCCCGCCGCCGCCCCGGGAGGAGGGGCGCCCCCGCCCTGCTCCCACCAGCCCCGCCGGGACGCCTCTGACACCCGCGCGGTTACCGATTCCGCTGCTCTTTGAAGAGCGCCGTCAGCGCGCGGAGAGCCTCCAGGTCCTGGATGGGCGCGGGCATCATGACGCCCGACAGCCTGCCGGGCGGCGGCCTGGGCGCCGCCATCTTGCCGCTCGCAGCTCGGGCCGAGCGGCCGACGACGAGAAGCCGGAGGAGGAGGGGCAGGAGGGCCGGCGGGATCGGGTGGAGCGCGGGCTGCTGCCTCCGTACGCCGCCGCCGCCGCCTCGGCGCCGCTGCAGCCCGCGGGCCCAGCCCGGAAAGCGCGAGAGCACGCGCCCAAGGCTCGCCTCAGGCCGGAGGACGCGACGGCGCGGCGAGGGGAGGGGGGCGCGGGCGGAAGTCCCGCCTGCGGGGAGGGGGGCGCCGACCGGAAGTTGGCCCTGTGGGGAGGGGGCGCAAGCGGAAGTTGTGTTTGAGGGGGTGGGGACGTCAGGAGGGCGGAGGGTTCCCGAGGAGAAGTCGGAGGGGTGGGGGGCGGGGACACCCTGAGCCGGGAAATGGGGGCAGAGGGGGTCTCCATGGGAGCGGGTGTGGGGGACGAGGACGCCCTGAGGGGGAGATGCGGGCAGACTGGGGTCTCCGCAGGAGAGGATATGAGGAAGGCTGGGGAGGCCTACAGAGGTTCCCCTGGAGGAGAAGGCTGAAGACCTCGATCCTGCGGTCGGGAGGGTTGATCAGGGCTCACACCGACCCCCTGGGAGCTGGAGCAGTCTGGGTCCATCTTGCAAGTCTCAGTCCCTGGAAGCTCAGTTCCCAGTTCTTCAGTCAGTTCAGTCGCTCAGTCGTGTCCAACTGTTTGCCACCCCATGGACTGCAGCACGCCAGGCTTCCCTGTCCAGCGCCAACTCCCAGAGTTTACTCAAACTTGTGTCCATGGAGTCAGTAATGCCATCTAACCATCTCATCCTCTGTCGTCCCCTTCTCCTTCCCTCAATCTTTCCCAGCATCAGGGCCTTTTCCAGTGAATCAGCTCTTCGCATCAGGTGGCCAAAATATTGGAGTTTCAGCTTCAACATCAGTGCTTCCAATGAACACCCAGGACTGATCTCCTTTAGGATGGACTGGTTGGATCTCCTTGCAGTCCAAGGGACTCTCAAGAGTCTTCTCCAACACCACAGTTCAAAAGCATCCATTCTTCAGCGCTCAACTTTCTTTATAGTTCCACTCTCACATCCATACATGACCAATGGAAAAACCATAACCTTGACTAGACGGACCTTTGTTGGCAAAGTAATGTCTCTGCTTTTTAATATGCTGTCTAGGTTGATCATAACTTTCCTTCCAAGGAGTAAGCGTCTTTTAATTTCGTGGCTGCAATCACCATCTGCAGTGATTTTGGAGCCCAGAAAAACACAGTCAGTCACTGTTTCCACTGTTTTCCCCATCTATTTGCCATGAAGTGATGGGACTTGGATGCCACGATCTTAGTTTTCTGAATGTTGAGCTTTAAGCCAGCTTTTTCACTCTCCTCTTCCACTTTGATCCAGAGACTCTTCAGTTCTTCACTTTCTGCCATAAGGGTGGTGTCGTCTGCAGATCTTAGTGATCACTTACTGGCAGTGGCTCAGACGGTAAAGAATCTGCCTGCAGTGCAGGAGACCGGATCCGATCCCTGTGTTGGGAAGGTCCCCTGGAGAAGGCAATGGCTACCCACTCCCATATTCTTGCTTGGAGAATTCCATGGACAGAGGAGCCCAGTGGGTTGCAGCCCATGGGAGCGCAGAAAGTCCGACATAACTGAGCGACGAACACACACTGACAGTAACATCATTTACCAGGCCCGCTTGGAGTGAGACTACTGCTGTTCCAGCTCATTGGTGGTGGTTTAGTCCCCGAGTTTAGTCTTTGCGACCCCCACGGACTGTAGCCTACTAGGCCTCTCTGTCCATGGGACTTCCCAGGCAAGAATACTGGAGTGGGTTGCCATTCCCTTCTCCAGGAGATCTTCCCGACCCAGGCATAGAACCCGCATCTCCTGCACTGAAGGTGGATTCTTTACCACTGGGCTACCAGGGACTCTGTTCCAGTTCATTAAGGGCTTTATATACAATTAGAATTCAAGGAGCTAAATTCTACAGAGTTAGGCTAAGAATTGTGTTTTTCTAAAGGAAGTGAGGTGAGATGGTTGGATGACATCAACTCAAAGGATATGAGTTTGAGCAAACTCTGGGAGATAGTGAAGGACAGGGAAGCCTGATGTGCTACAGTCCATGGGGGTGCAAAAAGTCAGACACGACTCAGTGACTGAAAACAGCAAAGGGAAACGAGTATATTTTACAGGAATCAGACAAGGCTTTTCTGGGGGTTGTGATAACTCACTCTTTTCTTTTCACTGCACTTTATCATATCATGTATATATTCTTTGAACAGACATTGTTGCCAGACCTCATGATAGGTACAGGATGAGCTGTGATCTCACAGTATCTGCATGGCATTGGTTCCAGGACACCCCCTCACCCCCGCAGACACCAAAAACCTCGGATGCTCAAGTCCTATAGTCAGCCCTCCATATCCACAGATGCTGCAACCTGTGGAGACAGAGGGCCAACTGTGTAAAGATCTATAAGAGATGATCCCACCCTGAAGGAACTCACAGACTATTCAGAGAGAGAGGCAAACAAAATTGAATACACTTGATTACTGCTATAACAGAGGACTGGACAAATTGCTGTGAGGCCAATTAGAATATATAAATAATACTCTCTACATTTCAACTTGAAGTGTAGGGATATGTTTATAACATTTTTGATGTTCTTTACTAGATAAAATTTAAAGACCTGATAAATACCACCAGAATATGCAGGAGAAATGAAACATGAACAAGCAACTCAGCTGTGACTGTAATTCAGCCCTATCCCATTTAACTGACGACATATTCATGAATTCCACAAATATTTCTACATACCTACTTTGTGCCAGGCATTATATCGCCTAGAGATGCTCAAGACCATCAAAAATGTTTAACAGTCCTTAAACTAGCAGGGCAGGATCTCCTAATTTTTCCCCGATGAACAGGGAATAGTAAAATGTATTGGCACCAATCAAGATCTTACCCCTTAGCTTGCCATCCTCAATTGTAAAACAAAAGCAACTACTCTGATTCTTCTAGAAAACATGTCCCATAACATTCAAATTCATTGGCCTGGAATGTTGCAGTATGAACCTGACTGCTCTCTTTGCTTCTTCTCTTGTCTCCCTATATTATAAGTCCTTTAAAAATATGAGTCAACATTTCGTTTTGCTCAAAACCATCCAAAGGATTTCCATCTCACTCAGAGCAAGAGTCAAAGTTCTTCCAGCTGAAGTGTCCCTAAATAGACTGCCTCCCTCACGATTCTGATCACATCTACTAGTCTCTTCATCCTCCACTGAGCTTCAGCTACCCTGCCCTCCTTGTCCTCCACCTGGGGAAGTATGCTCCTGCCTCAGCATTTTGCACATGCTATTCCTGTTGCATGAAACACCTTCAATGCTTATCTAGCACATTCTTGTATGGTTTATTTCCTTCATCTGCTCCAAAGATCTCTTAATGAGTTTCCTTTGTCAGTCTTTAAAATTGTAGTGCACCAGCCAAATTCCTGATCCTCAGGACTTTTCTTAATGGCCCTTAATGCTTCCTACATCACATCCTCTACTTGTCTATTTAATTATTGCTACCATTTTGTTTACTGCCAAAACGTTTAGGCTACACAAGGACAGAGATTTTGGTCTTTTTTTACCTTTATCTCTCCAGCCTCTAGAAAAGGATCAATTATGTGGTAATTGCTCAATAAACATCAGCTAAATTAATGAACAAAATATTTTAAAATATATTTTCCAAAAGGAGAAAGAAAATAACATGCCTCCAGAAGAGGGTCAACAATCCAAACAGTACAAGAAAGAGAAAAGGTGGAAGATAGGAAGAAAAACATCATTAAAGGACATGAGAACAAAAATAGAGGCAATAACAGGACAGGCTAGAAGTATAGGTGAGTATGAGAAACAAAAGGATATGAAATTGGTCAAACCATGGAGGTGTTATTGACTGCCTAGAATTGGCTAGAGGATTTCAACCTTGGATGAACTGATAGAATTAAGTTATTATTTCACTTGGGCTAAATAGCATTTTTTTTTAGCATTTTAAAAATGTTTTATAATTATGCCTTATGATGATAAACATGCCACCATGTAGATGTACATGAATTAAACTTTAGATGAAAATTTGTAGTATGTTCGTGTCTTGAGCCTGCTGCAGAAGAACTGGATCTGCCATGGTTCAATAATCAAGAAATGAAAATAAATAAAAAGAAAGGAAAAAGAAATGAAGGAAAGAGACTTCCCTGGTGGTGCAGTGGTTGAGAATGTACTTTCCCCTGCAGGGAATGCAGATTTGATCCCTGGTCAGGAAACTCCATCCCACATGCCACAGCCAAGTGTTCGCATCCTGCAACTAAAGATCCCGCATACCAGAACTGAAGATCTCACATGCTGCAACCAAGACGCTGCGAAACAAATGTTTGTTTTTTTTTTAAAAAAAGAAAGAAAGCGTATGCCATATATCAGCTCCTCCTCCAAAACATAATGTTCAGTGGATGCTCAAGTCAGTCCATACCTCTCTTTGGCGCTAACTTTGGAGAATTCCCCTTGTACTACACATGTGCTTATGTACTGTCCTTTGAATCTGAGATTCCTCAAGGCAGGGACTTTATTTTCCTTATCCTGTTCAGGATCAAGTTCAAAGCCTTGTGCCTAGATTCAACGCTATAAATATTTGTGAAACTGAAAACTTTGAAGACCAAAGGAAAAAAATAACAGAATAGTGTAATTATTAAGAGCAGGGATCAGCAAACTGCAGCCTGCAAGCCAGATCTTTCCCACTATCTATTACCATAAATATTATTGGAAATTGTCACACTTGTTTATTATACACATTGCCTATGGCTTCTTTGATGCTATAGTGATAGCGTTGAGTAGTTGTATAGTGGAGACTGTATAGCCTACAAAGTCTAAAATATTAACACAGTTTGGGGACTTCGCTGGTGGTCCAATGATTAAGACTCCGAGCTCCCAATGCCGGGGGCACAGGGTGCAATCTCTGGTCGAGGAACTAAGAGGCC